AGATGATCGACACACGTTATATATAATCGTATACGTAGTAATGGAATCCTGAAAACGCTACAAACAACCGAAAAACAGACATGGAGGTGTCTTGGAGATGACTAATTGGACGTATTATTGCGGCGGGGTATTCGAAGCTAGGCATTTGTTGGACTTTTCACGACGACGATAACGCGTGTGTGTAACGGTCCGGTTTACAATGAAGCGATGGCTGAGAAGGAACTGACACGACCGCGGGGTGTCAAACGGGTGACAACACCGTGGCCGTGTCAACATACAGTTTAACCAGAATAATATATGATTAAATAAAATTTTTTCAAAGAGTTTAACTTAAAAGGAGTATTAAGAGGGAGAAAGAAAAAAACTTATAATAGTTTAATAGCAGGATTAAATGAAAACAATTTAAAAGATAAGGATTTGAACTAACAGAATTTAACTAAAATAAATTTGTTACTCAAAACAACAAACTGAATTAATCAAATAAATTGATCAAAAAATAAATGGTTGACAGAAATCAATGTTAATATAACAAGGGTCTGAGTTAAGACCAAAGTGAAAGGAGGGGTGGTGCCATGAGGGGTCTAGGACATTTCGCCGCTGACCGTTTTGCCGCCGACCCATTTCGCCGCTGACCGTTTCGCCGCCGGACATTTCGCCGCGGACGTTTCGCCGCCAAACTCTTGATATATAAATTTTTTACTAACGCCTTTTCGAAAAATTTTAATTATTTTAGCCTAATCCTTCATTGCACAAGTCCTTAAAATCCAGTATAATGATAAAAAAATTAATTATATATATATGCCACAAATTGTTTAAATTTAATTTGTACTTAATTTAATTATTATAATTAAATGTTATCATAATTATAATATTCATTGTTATTTTTTCATTTTAACAATTAATACTATTGAAATAACTATATTTCAAGCATACTAATGCTCTTATTTATATGTATAGATGATAACCATGTGATATAATTATCAATTATTTATGTATATACTTAGCGTCGTATTATAAATTAGCAAACCTAGTTTTTGCAAATATTGTATATTTTTAATGAATAAGGTATAAAATACTCAAAAACATTGTGTCCTCTTGGTTAGCTATTTTAATAATTTTAGAAATTAAACAATTTAAATGATACATATACGTATTAAAACAAATGGATGCGATTATAGCACAGACTATATGAAAACAGATAGTTCACTTGGCCCGATAACAAAACGGTTTTTTGATTGGAGAAGTGAAATCAGTGCAACCATATGTATGAGCGCAAAAATTATTTTAATTTATTTCATTATTAAATCTTCTGTAGCATAAATATTATGAAATTCCGTATATAAACATAATTATTGACATAAATTATTTTAATACATCATTAAATTAAGGTATTAAACCCATAATCCCTTATTTATGACTCAAAATCCCTAAATTAGTCATGAAAATTAAATAATTATCAGTTTTTATAATGTAAATTATTAACTACTTAAATTTGACTCGAGCAGTAACAATTGTTATTGTTAATGTTGTCAATGATCACATGTATCTTATTTCGTGTTATATTTGGTGCTTTCTTTCAAAATATCTCACTACCTCACCAGTATGCGATGCTCAGTAAAGTTTTGTCCAAGTACATATTCCTTCATGGATAAAAGCTTTTTTTCTTATCCTAAAGAAAACGATCGTTTGAAACTATGGATGAATAATTGTCAAACTAATCATTTGGCAGAGACTTTATCCAAAAAAAAATAATCTAGTAGTTTGCGCGGATCATTTTGACGATAAAATGTTTTTGAAAAAGACTACAAAAAATCGGCTGGTCATGATGCAGTACCTACAATATTTAGTGGTCAGTATTTTTTATCTTCGATGCAAAGCTGAGAAGGTATTAATTTTACTATGATGTGTGTTTCTTTAATTTATTTATTTTTTGTGTGTCTGTTACCTTGTTTTTTTCAGCTCTTACCGAACCGATTTCTTTCAACGATACGTCAAAAGATCACAAATCGTATCTAGTCGAAGACGTTACCCTCAAAAATTGAAAAATTTTCCTTCATTCCTCATAAGTGGGAGATATCTCCAAAATAATTACAATTTTAAAAATCAGTAATTTTTGACATTTTTTTCTTAACACTACCATAACTTTTTCAAAAATGAAAATTTTATATAGATGTTTGATGTCTTTACCTATTATTTGGTATATTTTTTTATAAATTTAACCCTTTACCAGCCCACAGTGGGGAATTCAAAATGACAACTTTTTCACAAAAAATTAACTTTTTCAACTTAACTTTTGAAAGTGTTCCGGAAATACTGACGCTCTTATATATATATTAAATTAAAGCTAATGTAATATACTTTATTTTGGGAAAAAAAAATTTCGGACTTTATTTTGTCTTCACGGTGAAAATGGCTATAATTTGGCCAAAAAATGGCTAACAATAATAATAATAATAAAAATATAAAATTTATTATATAATTTATATTATTATTTATTATATCTAAAATAATTCAAATTTTATAAAAAATGTAATACTATTAACAGTTTTACAAAAAATTACAGCTTCATATATTATAGGTAAAACTAACTAAACGTTGACAAAAAATTTATAAAATAATAAACTACACAAAATGTCAACTTTTATACAAATTAAACACAATATTCATAATGTCAGACAATATTTAAAAAACAAACATTTTTATTAAGACTAAATGTTATTTAAACAAAATAAGTATGCGAACAGTTATAATTAATTATTGTTCAAGTATTTAAAATGCAATAGTGTCACTAATTCCAATATCATTGATAATTTTTGTAACTGATAGAGGAATTGTACAATATTATTGTAAAATATTTGCACAATAATATGAAATTGTACAACAGTCTCTACTGCTTTGTCTTCTGCCCAATCAGAGAGCTTGATTTTTTTTTCTATTGTTCTCGGCTAAGTGAACTATCTGTTTTCATATAGTCTGTGATTATAGCAAGATATTGTATTATTTTGTATTATTATTTATTTTGTATAAGATATTTTGTTTACACAATAAATCAAAGGTTTATAATGGTTAATTAAAATATTTGTTATAAGAATACAACATATTAATTTATTTATTTATTCTTATAATAGTTATATTCGTATATTTTGAGACTTTATTAGACACTCAGTAGTATCTAGAACATTATAAAATATAAAATAATACTATATTTTAAGATAGAAATGTGATATGCATAAACTAATATATGAAGTACAAATTACTTCAATATCGACAAAAAGTTGAGTTAACGAGTGAATGAATTATACATCTACTAAACATATAGTAAATTAAATTAATAAAAAGGAGTGTATTCATTAACGCGTGGACCGGTAGCAACTAACTGGTGGTACTCAGGCAAGTTACCCCATAATAATTTCCCCCAACCCCAAATTTTGGATAGCTTATTACTCGGTGGCTATTGGTCGTATAGTCATCGGGTTTACGTTGACAATTTTAGGCGCAAAATCCCTTCACAGGATTTTTGTACATTCGGGACGATATTTCCTAAACTCAGTACACCTCGAAAATATTGCAGAAAACGGATGCCACAGAAGTTTGGTGGCATTCAGACCACTTGTTCCTTAGAAATAGTCGATAGAGAAAAATTAATTTGAACAATATTTTTGTTCAATAATACAACATATTGATCAATTCTATTTAATTTTTGAATCGTTTTATTCGTATATTTTGAGACGAACTTTATAAGACTACCCAGTAGTATCATGAATATTATAAAATATGAAATAATTTCATGACAATAAGGTAAGTATTAATATTTTTACTACTTACATTAGTGCCTGAAACAAAATTCGAGCACAGTATTACAATTAATATCCTAAGAAATAATATTGTTTAAGGTTTGTATAGTATTTGTGGATAGATAGATGACTACGATGTGTGTAAAAGAATATTTAATTTTAGTAAGTTTTAGATTTAATAATCCAACAACATGCGATAAAATTGCACGTTATTGCATTTAAAACTAATGATTTTTAGCTTCGATACGAAGCTGAGCAGGTATTAATTTTACAATGATCTTTTTTTTGTGTCCGTTACTACTTTTTCTTAGCTCTCACCGAACCAATTTCTTTCAATGATACGTCGTCAAAAGGTCATAAATTGTATTTAGTCGAAGACATTACCTTCAAAAATTACAAATTTAAAAATCGGTAATTTTTGACATTTTATCAATTTTTTTTACTTAAAACTGCCTCAACTTTTTGGAAAATGTATGGATCAATACAATTTTGTTTTTAATAGATATATTAGGTATTTACCTATCATTTGGAATATATATATTTTTTAATCTGACGTGCCCATTAGGGGGGTATACCAAATAACAACTTTTTCACAATAAATTAACTTATGAAAATGTTCCGGAAATACTGACACTTTTATGTATATCTAAAATTAAAGCTTATGTAATATATTTAAATTAAAAAAAATTGACCTTTAGACTTGTTCTTATAGTAAAAATTAGTGCCGTAAAATATGCTATTTTGTGTTGAAATTTTCGATTTTTATATTTTATATTTTATATTAGTCAGTTATTTCCAGTGTATGGTTATCAGTATACAAGATATTGTATGTACTAAGATATTTATTAAATATTTTTTATTTTGTTTAAAAAAATCAATTCAGTGTTTATTTTAGAAAGAACCATTAAAATATTGAAAATAATAAAACTTCAATAAAATTTAAAAAAAGTATTAAAGCATATTTTAGTATTTCCTTTTAAATTAAACACACCGAATTGATTTTTTTTTTATGCTTTAATACTAAATTACTGCAAAATAAAATCTGATACTTTGATTGTAGATTATATTCAATGGAGCTAATTATTTCACACTAACTTTTACGCTATTTAAATATTTTTGTATTTATTTGTCACAAGTCCCCAGCCTAATTATTATTATTTATTTTTTGTTCAGGAGGTACAGTAATTATAAAAAATAATAGCAATATAACACAACGAAAATCATTTATTAGTTTCTCTTCAATATTATTATTATAAAAAGATTTCATCTTAACTATTATCTTATGGGCTATATATAATGACGAGGTTTAGAATTATCACTTATTTTTTTAAAAATATCCTTAATAAAAATTAACGACATTGATAGTGAATTTGTAGAAAAAGTCTTGCAGGTGTTCAATTTTTCAATATGCCATTTTAGAATTTGATGAGCAGCCCTATTAGTCGATTAGTTCTTCAAGCGTTCGTTCGATTGTAAAATACGCCGTTGATTTATTCTATTTCGCTTTGTTTTTGACTTGTTGATGATTTTTACTGTGAATTAGTAAACTTCTTTGTTTTAAGAACTTTTTCTATATATTTGTAATATTAATTTATTTAAAATGGACATTTTAACTAATCGCAATCAAAACGTTGTAAATCATGAAGGGTATCAGTATGTTTTTGATAAAGTTCTTGCTAATGGTGTAACTGAATCCTATCGTTGTCGTAGAAGAGAGCTCAATTGTAAAGGTCGTATCCATATTACTGATGGCAATATTGTGGTTCGAGGTGTACATGGTGGTCACGAAGAGTCACCTGGTGGCATAGAAGTACGAATGATAATTAGAAAAATATAACACAATGAAACTAATTTATTACAGAGTTAATGAACAAATCTGTATGTAGGATTTCCAGAATAAAAAAAAATTAGTTGATAAAGATCAATTTTATTTTTTTGGGGGGAGATTCGAAAAATTTTCTAATAAAATAATTATCCTCGTTACGTCATTTAAATCGCAACTCGAAATAATTTTAAAGTTGCGAAATTCGTAAATAAATAAATGAATTAAATTTGATTTTCAAAATTTTAATTTACACAACATTTTTATGAATAGATTACAATTTTGGGACAAGGAGCTCGAGTTACCCCACTTTAATAAGAGTGGTTATATAGGGCGTGTATTTATACACAGAATAAGCTGCACCCACGCGCGCTACATACCCACTCCACGTGTTAAAACTCATAACTCAATAAGTATTTAATATTTACTTGTTATCGACCCATTAAAATTTTTTTTAAGAAAAGAGTTATAAAATGGCTATATTGAAATTTTGAAAAAATTAAAAACTTTATTTTTAAAAACAAATATTTTTAATGAGTCCTTAATTAAAAAAAAAAGTTAAAATTAACGCGAAATATTTGTGATCATAAGTAATTAAATATGTCAATATCTGTTGGGACCCCTATAGAGGGTGATTTTTTTATCATAACCCACTCAATTACTTGCAGAATANTATACAGGGTGATTTTTTTATCATAACCCACTCAATTACTTGCAGAATAATAATAATTTAAACATTTTTTTTTTCATTATCTTTAGTTACACATTATTCTTGAATTTTTAACTATGTAATACTTTTTAAGTTTATCCCTTATGCCTTGGAGGGGGGTCAACTTTGTTTTTTTAAATGATAATACATATTTTATTAACAATCCGTGACTGTGATAGCAATATCACAAAAAAAACAATTAGCTACCTGTATTTGTAATCCTTATGTATTATACCTATATATTAACTCAAAAATGTGAAACTTTAAATGTTTATATCTAATAAGCTAATAAAGTTATATTAAAAATTCAAATGCCATTTACTATTAAATTAAAAACTCAAACATTTTATTAAATTAAAAATATGTGTTACCATTTAAAAAAACAAAGTTGACCCCCTTCCAAGGCATAAGGGATGAACTTAAAAAGTATTACATAGTTAAAAATTCAAGAATAATGTGTAACTAAAGATAATGAAAAAAAAAATGTTTAAATTATTATTATTCTGCAAGTAATTGAGTGGGTTATGATAAAAAAATCACCCTGTATATGTACATAAAATAATGAATTTAATAAAATTAAATACCTGAATAAAAAAAATTATCAGTTTAACATTTTTCTATTTTCCAAACTTAATATGCTATAGAGGGCGATGTTGGGGAATAATTAAAAATTTTTCTGATAAATTATAATGCTCTAGGAGTAAACCACAAAAAAAATGTAAAGACTAAGTTGAGATTAATTAAAAAATCAAAGTTCATTTGAAGATATTAAATTTAATTATTTTCTTTGATGTTTTCCTCCAATCACAATAGTCAATAAAATTAATCATACTAAAAATACATGGGAAATAAAGCAAAAGTGGCAAAAATCCTTAATTCCATAAAAATTAATGTAGATATAGTAAATTGAAATTGTATTGTCTTATAACTTAATTTTATTGCTATAATTTTATATGCCAAAGAGAGTTAAAAATTTGTTTTCTAGTCAAAATTGTTTTAACCAAATTTTACTTAAATCACTTTTGCTTTAACACTTACTTAGAGTAATAGATAATCATTGAACAAATTATAATTTAAAATTTAGTGTTTTTTTTAAAATTTGATTTATAATCTCATCTTAATTTAATGAAAAAAGTTACTACTACTTCTACTACTAAAAAAATGTAATAAATAAATTAAGAGAGATGATATCATTACAGATATCATAAAGATTACACCATTATATTGAGCAAAATTATTAAAATTATAAGATTACTTAAACAAAAAGGATTTCCTAGATGTTTTAAATTGTTTATTTGTTCTAATTTTCTATTTTTGTATGCTTACCAATATCCAAAAAATAAAACCAATAAAAACACATTTTAGCAGTTTTAATATATTTTTTTACTTTTATTATTTAAAAAACAGGTTGCTGCTACAGTCACAAATATTAAAAAAAGAGCTGCAGAAACAATGGAGTCACCAGCTGTGACAATTAATCAATGCATAGGTAAAATATTAGATAAATATTTTTATTGTAGTATAAATTTCATATGTTTAAATACTTGTTAGAAAACATGACAGTTACTGCAAAAGGAAGTCTTAAATCAATGAACAGCCTTAAAAAGACCATCAGGAGAGTCAGGTGACAAAATGGTCCTGAAATGCCAACTGCTCCACTGACATTAATAGATTTGGAAATTCCAGAGAGCTTCAAGATGTACGAAAGTGAGCCTGGCATTTATGAAAATTTCCTTCTATGCGACACTGGACCAGCAAGAAATAGGATTCTCATATTTGGTCGCATGAGAGGTTTAGAAGTAAAATGAACTATGCTAAGAATTTAATATAAGTATGAGATATTTACATAATATATATTCATTTGTTTTTTACCAGATTCTAGCAACATGCGATGAATGGTTTGTTGATGGAACCTTCAACATAAGTCCACAATTATTTTCACAAGTTTTTGTGATATTAGGTATTCGCAATGGAGGTATACATCCTTGCCTGTATACTTTACTTCCAAATAAAGAACAATCAACTTACCTACGGCTAATTGTTGAAATAAAAAACTTAGCACCAGGAATAATTGTTGGGAGCATATCTGTGGATTTTGAAGTGGCCATTCATAATGCCTTCAGAATAGAATTTCCCAATATAGAAATTAGAGGTTGTTTTTTCCATTTGTTGAAAAATCTTAAAAAACAATTAGGAATAGCAGGGTTAATGACGTAAGCTATTTATTATAAAATTATTAAAATTGTAATTTACTCACATAATTTATCCTTGTAGAGATTATAGAAATGACAGCGACTTCAATCTACATGCTAGAATGGTAACAGCTTTAGCATTCGTACCACCAGAAGATGTAGTCAGTTGTTTTGAAGAATTAAGTGAGATATTGGAAGTTACTTATCCAAGATTACAGCCAATATTGGATTGGCTTGAAACTTTTTATATTGGACTATTAAGAAGAGAAGGGGCGAGGAGGATACCTGCATTTCCTATACAAACTTGGAACCTTTATAATAGAGTTAATGCAGGACAAATGGTAAATATTAAATTGAAGTATATGAAATAAAATATAAATAATCGAAAGATTACTTACTTATCTAACTATCTATGGAACCTAGAGGTCATCCAAAACATATTTAAAATTCATTTAATACAATCATTCACAATGTTCATCCTGGAAGACATACATTTTTACAAGTTTTTAAACAGTAACAGCCATATTTTTGTTAACAAAACAGTGTAACCAATTGTAAATGTTAACTATAATACAGATATATAAAATTTCTGTTATCACAATTTTTTTTACTATAAAGATTTAAAAATTGAAACTCTCAGCATACCTTAGAATAATTAGTCAATAAAGACACAATACCAATATATTATTAAAATTTAAAAATCTAGATTTAAATGGGATTTAAGAATTATGAAAGCAATTGAATATATTTATACCACTAGATAACATAATTTAATATATTATTATTCTGTGAAAAATTGGTACATGGGTTTTTGAATTAAGCCGTCAATATAAAAATTCAACTTAATTAAATTAGAGTATAATATAAACCAGCTATTAGTGTATTGTTTTTCAAGAGCAGTTCATTAATAATAAACGTAAAATTTAATAATAATGCTAATTTTAGACTAACTTACTTATATTTATACTTATTGACTAATTTATAATTTCTTGATTTTAGAAAACTAATAATATTTCTGAAGCGGCTCACAGAAGATTACAAGCCCAATTAAGCATGACAAAACAACTATTTGGAAATTCATAATAGAGCTGAAAAAAATTCAGGCAGAACGCGATATTTATTATGAATTTCTGGTTGCTGGGAATGATCCACCTCCAACTAAAAGAGTTTTTGTAGAAGCCAGTAACAAAATATTGCGCCTAGTTCAAGATTACAGCAATAGAACGACAATAGAGTATTTAAGAGGCTTAGCCCATAATTTTTTAATTGATCACTGAAATAAATACAGAAATTAACGTTTTTATTAAATTATCAGAATTTTCATTTAAGCAAAACTAATAACAAAATGAGAGTAATTGTTTAACTTGACTGCGAGACTTAGAAAGTACATTAATAATTAGGTGAAAATAGGTACTCACGTATTACAAAATTAATAATAATCTGGAATTCTGACAAATTTACTGGAAAAAAATGAAGTACAATTTATTAAGATGTCTTAATAAACCATCATAAACAAACAAAATAAAAATATTGATGATTTTTTTATTGGTTTCTTTTAGTACGTTTCTTTAAATGTATCATTCATAAAGTATTTTTTTATGTTCATCCCTTTTACCTCATAAGGAAGTCAAATTTAATTTTCATAATAGCAATACACATAATTTATTGGCTTTTTTGTTAGATAATAATCTAATTAAGAAAATGACTGGTCAATAACAACTTTTGGACCACTATTTCAGATTTTATTAATAATTTACAGTAATGATTAAAGGTGAAGAGTTTGTTGCTGTTTTTATAACTAGACATTTCCAGCCATAGCACTCAGTAATGCTATTTAAACCTCGATTTTTAGCCTTTCTTATTTCATAAGTTAATGTTCAGTGTTTTTTAATCTCATCAAAGTTAAAAGACAACCCAATTGTGCTTAACCAAACTTTTGCTAATTCAGCTTCATCTATTTTAATTTTTATATTAAATAAATAAATGAATTGGATGTATTAGCATGAATATAAAACATAAATGTTTGACAATATTATTACTAAATGTTAAAATGAAAATGTGTAAAATTATTAATGTTTCATAGAAGTTTTTATTTTTTCTTTTACTTTCAATAGCACCTATATTCAGAAGCTGGTGTACAACATTTTTCCAACATTCCACTAATTTTCCTTTTGCATGGAATTATTTTGACTTGATGGTATAAAATATACTTTCTACGAGATAAAAATATTAATATTAAAACTCATTTTTATTTTTTAATGTTCACAAAAGCATGTATAATTCAGTTTTCTTAAAATATATATTATTAATAGAATTAAAATTAAACTTAAAAAAATTCCTATCAGTTAATAAAAGAATGCTGAGGTAACATGTATTAAAACTTTTATATACACAATTTTATTAATTTTGAACTAATTTGTTAAATTTATAAATATTATACTATGTTTTCATTTAAAATACATTGGTTATTAAAAGGGTAGGTAATTCAAATATCAAATAGATACAATAACCTGATTTTTTAATATTTATTTTAAACTATGTCTTAGTGTGTCCAAAGTCTGGTCACAATGAGATACCATAACTATTTTTAAAAAAAAGTTTTCTAGTTTGAAAAAATGCTTTAATTATTAAATTTATTGATAGGTATTTGAAAAATGTATTTATTATTATTATTATTATTAATTGATTATGATAATTTTTTGAAAAAAATGTAAATTAATATAATAGTTTTAAACCTATATCCTACTTCTTGTTCTTTTCGAAATATTTCAATGATAATTGAAGAAATTTTCCGAAATTAAAAATCAGTTCCCCTAAAACAAATATTTAATATAACATAAGTTTAATAAATAGAAATATTAAATTAGTATAAAATTAAAGGTCTATGATTATTTTATATAAGAACTATAAGTTTTCATGCATGTTAACTATTTTAACTTACACCCATACATATTTAATTTATAATAAATATTTAAAATAACATAGTGTATATTACCGAGCTTTGTCTTTAAATAAATAATTTATTAAGTCTCGTAAGTGTATTTTGAGCATCATTAGATAAATGTTCATGGTTTACTTTTGCATCAGTCAAAATAAAACGACCATAATTAGTTGAATAAATCAAGCTCATAATAGACTAAAAGTAATACATATTATTTTATAATTTGTCATACTTAAAGAATAAAATTTTATTAGTATATTACCTGCAAAGTCCATTCTATTGGTTTATATGTTCTATACTTGGAATTTGATTCAGTTAGAGATGAATATGAGGAAAATCTATTAGAATTAGTTTGCACATTTACACTATCATCACTTTTATTACTATTTAAAACACTTCCTACATTGATAATTCCATCCAAATTTTTATACTCTGTCATATGACAGCTATAATTATTTAAAAATCACCTATTTGTATTTAGAATAAAAATGTAACAGCCAAAACAACTAAAAGCAATAGTTGAATACTATAATTTAAAAAATGTACAAGTTAATGATATATAAGAACCTTAATAAAGTTAGTACTGATTTCCATGACTAAAGTAAAACTGCTGTATTACCACATTTTAAAAATTATAATACTTAAACTTATATGATTACGCCCCAAATTAACAAAGCAAACAAAATAGGAAATCATGATTTTAAGTTTAAATTAATTTGCAAATTCTAGGTTAGAGAACATGTAATATTATGTTTACAGTGATGTTTTGTCAGGTGAATATTTATTATCAGTGATTATCGCTTATTCACCCTTCTAAAAATAACCTTTTGTAATATTTTAAATGGAATATCAACAAGCGTTTTGATATAACAATAATTGTATTAGAACTAAACATTTCTAATGCTTAATNTGTATTAGAACTAAATATTTCTAATGCTTAATTAATATTCATTAAATGTTCAACATAACTTATAACAATGGCAAAGTTAACATGATTAAATTATTTTAACTCCTCAATTACTAAAAGTAATTTTATAATAACACTCAGTCTGATAAAATTAAAACATTTTGTTTTTACACTAGTCCAGTTAGTATCTCAATTAATAATAGTGTTTAAATCAAAACAGTTCTAATATTATAGATTGGCAAATAGTATTTATATTACAATAACAATTCACAACAAATAATAAATTTTATATTACAATAACAAATAAAAAATTTCTTGATGATGTTTTGATAAGTAATAAGCTATCCAAATTTTGGTGTAACTTGCCTGAGTACCACTAGTCAGTTGCTACCGGTCCAATCCGGTTTACACGGTTAATGAGTGCACTCCTTTTTTATTAATTTACTATATGTTTAGAAATGGTATAATTCATTCACTCGTCAACTCAACTTTTTATCGATATTAAAATAATTTGTACTTAATAAATTAATTTACGATTATCACACTTCTATCTTGAAATATAGTATTATTTTATATTTAAAATATTCAAAATACTACTGGGTAGCCTAATAAAGTTCGTTTTAAAATATACGATTACAACTATTATAAGAATAAATTAAAGTAATTAATATGTTGTATTCTTAAAACAAAAATTACCCTAATTAACCATTCTAAAACTTTGATTTATTGTTAAACAAAATATCTTATACACAATAAATAATAATACAAAATAATAAAGTATCTTCTTATTCGCATCCATACGATTCGATACTCATATGTACCATTTAAATTGCTTGAATAGTTTATTTTAAAAGTGACAATTTTTTTTTAAATAACAGTTTATAACATTGACTCAAGTTGTTTTAATTATTTAATTTCTAAAATTATTAAATAGCTATCCAAGAGGATACAGAATTTTTGAGTATTTTATACTTTGTTCATTAAAAATATACAAAATTTGCAAAAACTGGGTATGCTAATTTATGATACGACGCTAAGTATATACATTAATAATTAATAATTATACCACATTGTTATTATCTATACATATAAATAAGAGCATTAGTATGCTTGAAATATATTTATTTCAATAGTATTAATTGTTAAAATAAAAGAATAACAATGAATATTATAATTATGATAACATTTAATTATAATAATTAAATTAAGTACAAATTAAATTAAAATAATTTGTGACATTATATAAATAATTAATTTTTTTATCATTATACTGGATTTTAAGGACTTGTGCAATGAAGGATTAGGCTAAAATAATTATAATTTTTCGAAAAGGTGTTATTAATAAATTTATATATCAAGAGTCTGGCGGCGAAGTGTCCGGCGGCGAATCGGTGGCGGCGAAGTGTCCGGCAGCGAATAGTCCGGCGGCGAAACGGTCAGCGGCGAAATGGGTCGGCGGGGAAACGGTCAGCGGCGAATAGTCCGGCGGCGGCGAAATGTCCGGGTCCGTGCCATGAGGGCCTCAAATCCACGAAACGCATTGAGGGAATACAAGAATATTGATACAGGTGCACTGTGTACGGTCAGCTGATGACATTAGTATAACAGGTATCGGCCCAAGTAAGAGACAGTTACATCAGTCACCGTGATTTCAAAATATATTTAATATCTCGAAGTTCTAAAATCGTAATTATTTGTTTAAACCGTAAAAGTCAGTACATGGGTACTAGGTTGGTTCTACGTTATAGATAGACAATTTTTTTTTTCAAAAAATTAATCAATACACCCACATATTGTTCCAATAGTAAAAAAAATAAAACCTACCAAATTTGGTCATTTAAATATTATAAAAAAATAACATAACTCTTTATAAATATAGGGTCACACTAGAAAATGTACCTCAAGTACATTTTCAATCAACAACATTCCATAGAAACAAAAATACATAAATAATCAGAGTAAAAGGGAAAATGAAGGGAGGGGTGGTGTCATGAGTGCCTCAAATCCACGAAACTCATTGAGGGAATACAAGAATATTGGTACAGGTGCACAGTGTACGGTCAGCTGATGACATTAGGATAACAGGTATCGGACCGATTAACTGGTGGAGGTTATCAAATATACAACTATCAAGAAATACTTTACACCTAATGCACACACCACTAATTGAAAAGATTTATTTAAAAAACTAGTATAAATTCTGCAACATTACAAAGATTTCAAACAGCATGGAATAGTATCTATACAAATAATTATAAATCGGGTATACTAGATAAAGGTTTCATGGAATTACTAAAGGATATTGTGTGACGATATACTAAATATTTGTAAAAGTATTTGTATTTTTATAGTTTCCTTTTACATTAAAGTATGGTTTGATGCGAATTCAGTCATAAAAGCACCATTGCAAGATTTAAATTTTACTAAAAATCTTTTGAAATATATCTCAAATCACTATTAAAAAAATGTGTAATAATTTATGGTACTTAACACCTGAGAGTAGTGCATTTTCTTTTTTTGATGATACTATATCAATAGAAACTAAAAGAAAAATAGCTGAAGCTCTAAAAAACTGTGGACCTACAATTTATATCATATAAACGTTTAATTATTAATTCAAAAGGAGCTAATGTGTTAATAGATAAAGAATTCGAACAGTTCATTAGCATTGATTCATATCAACTGTTTAAATGATTTAATTTAAACACGACATTTCTAAAAGAAGATCCTATTAATTGGAAAAATAATGAAGATTATCAAAGTGCTTTAAAAATAGTAAAGAAGATTTCAGTAACAAACGATACAGCTGAAAGAGCCGTAAAACTTATGGAAGATTTCAACAAGAAAATTACCCATAATGAACTACAGAAACAATATTTATTACAAGTCGTATATGAATACCGAAAACAATATTCTGACCATAAAAGGAACTTTAAATGCCAATACTTAAAAATAAATTTATATGGTGGTTCATAGGATATTTTTCGTTTTTAATATGAGTTTAAGACATAATTTTTAAATAATTAATATTTTGTTTACATATATCGTTTTTTGTTTGTGTATTATAAAATTGTTTTAAACTAAATGTTTTTTACACGAAAAAAAAATAATTAAGTAACTTTTATATAAAAATATAAACATTGCTTTTATTTAATTTTAATTAAAACTATACGTTTCAGGAAATTTAATATTTTTTTTATTAAATTCAATTCGCCACAAAAAGTATTAAAGTTACGAAAAAAAGTATAAGAATTTAAATTTACCAAATTTAATTACAACTTACTTTTCTATGAAACATTTTATTATGTGACGAACAGTTGGTGAAATATTTTTAAACTTAAAAAAATAAAAAACGGTAGCACAGTGAGGTCGCGGCATAGTGAAGACATTGCATAGTAGGGTCCAGTATAGATTTAATCTGACAGTGATTAAAATCACTATCATAAGAAACGCTTCGATGCAAATCTGTAGATAGTGTTTAATTTTAAAAAATTGATGGATAATTGCAAAAGCAACATCAACTTCTATTAAAATAAAATACAAAACCCATAATTATCATACAAAAATAGTATATTTTTCAATATGGTAGCCATTTGCGTATAGAAGATAGATCGTCGGGACAAATTTTTTTTTTTCATTTTGTAGTACATAAAATAAGCTTTAATTTTATATATGTTTAAAGGACGCAGTATTTCCGGAACATTTTCAAAAATTAAGTTGAAAAAGTTATTTTTTATAAAAAAGTTACTATTTTAAATCCTCCCAGTGAGCAGGTTAAGTGATAGATTTTCAAAAAAAATTATATCAAATGAAAGGTAAATATCTAAGGTTTTAGTATAAAAAAAAATGATGTTGATTTGTTGATTTTTCAAAAAGTTATGGAAGTTTTAAGAAAAAAAAGTGAAAAAATTTCGAAAATTAGCGATTTTTAAATTTGTAATTTTTTTGCATATATCCCCCATTTGGGGGGAACGAGGAAATTTTTTAGGTGGCTAATAGAGCCACCTCATTCTTGTATCGTCAACTATGATTGGTTAGCTCCGTAATCCATAATTATGTCTGATTTTTCACTCTATTATTTTACAATATCACAATGACCAAAAATTGACCCTAGAATTTTTCTTTTAAATTTTAAATTTTAAAAGTTAATTGTGTTTTATCTAATCACCGATTAATCTGATTAAGAGATTTATATATATTATTACCTGATTGCGTCTTGCTTTTATTTCCTACCACATTTCACTATTCTAATTTAAAATTACATCTGAATTCCGTACTCGTTTAAATTTATATACCTTCGCTTCCAGCTGAGTATGTACATCCTCCGTTAAACCACTCTGATTTTGAGTTAAATTCAAAAAACAACCCCTCAGGCTCTATTTTCAACACTCTTGTGGCACGTGTTAAAATTAATTTATCATGGCCCAATTTGGTAGGTTTTATTTTTTTTACTATTCGAACAATATGTAAGGGTGTATTGATCAATTTTTACAAATTTGTTTTCTAGGACCACGCTAATACACAATTTAATGCCATATTTATGACGTTTGTTCTGAATGTATTGACGAAAAACAAGACGCCCTCTTTACAAAACCATTGATTCATCAAGTGATAGCTCTTTCTTAGGATAGTAAATAGAATTAATTTTATTATTGAAATAATCAATTAAAGGTCTAATTTTTTTTAAACGATCTAAATCTTGTTCTTGCTCGTGATTATCAATATTTGGAGTAAAATAGAAACATCGTAATAAAACTAAAAATCTGTCACGACCCATACAATTTGAAAAACATTTCAAGGTGTTGTTTTTTCCAATAATCATTTAACCGGTTTAATTTTATAGTACTGGTATGAATAATCAAAGCTAAAAAAGTTAACATTTCATCTTTATCTGTAGGTTTCCACGCCGATATGTGAGACTTTGGCGCATCACCAACACGTAAAAACTCATTTTTCAGCATAACTTT